TTGATGTTGAAGACAGCGAATGGGTCGTATACGCCGGGGAGGCTGGTGCTGAGAATGGCATGCTCACGGAGATGATGATTAGCTGCGGAATCAATGATTGAGAATGAATATTTCTATTTAGGCTGTGATCCCACACGTCGGGGAGAGAGAGTGTAGACGGCTGAGGCTTGCATACGTCACCATTACCAGAACTGAGGCAGAATGAGTGACAAGCGATCACAGTTGTCATTGGTAATGAATGGATGTGTGAAGGGTATCATGAGGTGCTGCTATGGTTGCGTTGCGTTCTGCAAGAGTCATTCTAGCAAGTGGCGATTGTGTTGTAAGATGTCACAAGGATGCCTTTAACTGGAAGGCGTAGGTCGTCATCGATGGGAGAGATTGTGCTGTGGGTTTGCATGTGGTGTGTTGGCTTTTCTGTTTGTTTTCCATTTCAGCTTTATCCGTGTGATTCAGGTTCTTCCACTGGCATCCAAGTCAAATTGTATTGGTCGTGATGAAAAAAGGGGATGGATCCCTTTCTTGGCGGAAAGTGTCAATGGAGTTGAAGATTGAACGATCAATTCATGGTTGTTTGCTCAAACCCAACCCCTCCATATTTTTCGTGGGAGTCACCCATCCATCAGTCATCGTCTCATCGTTTGCTCTTTGGTGGAAGACAGAAAACTATCAGAGGTATTATCGTGATTTATTGTTGTAACATTTATTCCTAGAAACATTGTGTATAATAACCTTAAGGTTGGTTACATATTGGCGTGAGAATAAGGGATTCTCGAGTCGCCAATCTGTCTTCTGGTTCTCGCGTTGGTTAATACAAAGTGTTTCTGAAAGTGTTCCGGGAACAGCGTGATGTCCAGCGTAGTAAGAGCTGGACATTGACAGTTTATGAGAGTTGGCTGACATATCTTTATGGCAAATCTGAGTGATTCACCAAGTTTCAGTAATGATTATTAGGGACCCTTTGCAAATTAAGAATAATGTAGTGAAGTCAAACATTTTGTTGAGTAGGGAGCGAGCACGGATGAGAGAGATTGACAGAGAGTTAGGAATGATGGCGAAATTGCATATATCTTTAAAAAAGTTATCCTCAAATTTTGTAGATTGTTTGGTGGGTGCTAACTCAGATGGTGGCAGTTAAGTGGCAGTGCTGGAAAAGTGCACTACGCCAGTATCAGCGCAGGGAGAGGTGCTATTGTTGGTTACCTCGGCGGGTGTGAAGGCTTATAATACCGTGACTGCGATGCCTCGTCCTCCCTTCTAGAGGTAAGTGGCTTGACAGTAGGTGAGCTATTTGCGTCAATATTGAGGTTGAAATTTCGTATTTTCTGAGAAAATTTAGATTGCATGGAGAGGAGGTAGGTAATTCCTGTGGATAGTACCCCGTAGCAAAGTTACGTGCACCGCGGTTATGGCTGATGTTTTGTGTGTTTAAGTTATTTTTGTAAATATTAGTTCATCGATGATCTTGGTTAGTCTGTATCTGGTGGTTTCCGGCGATGAGGTGAGTCAGAGGGCCACCTTGAGGAAACGAACCCAACACGCTTGTTCCTTGTTGTGGAGGTCCCTGGATCAGACTTTTGCCTATATTAGCCATGGACGAGAGAATTGTGTAGGGGTTGGTGTAGGCCTGTCGGTAGGTTTTCGACTAAGTTTTAGGGTGCCCGTAGAGATAGTGTCTGTTGTGTTTATCAGATGAAGATTCCCTCGATGTTGGACGAATCGACGAGTTGCCCCTTTTTCAATGACGTATTTAAGACAGTATGAAGACTTATCCAGCTTCTCCGAGTTAATGGTAAGAGTAGATTTGCTTAGGTTAGAGTTAATAATAATAATAATAATTTTATTTTCATATAAACATAAATTTACATGAAAATGCACGCCATTTTTACGGGCACGATCAAGTATGTTAAAATGTCAAATCTTAAATTGTCTACAAGTTAATAGTGTTTCAACAGTGAAATATTTTATACATATATATAATTACACTCATTGTCAGAACCAGACCGTACAGTTATTGAATTGTACAGTTGTCCTCCAGGTTGAGCGGGAAAATCGACTTCGTTTCGTTTTCATCCCGTGGTTGTAGGCATAGGATAACCAACCAATATTGAGGTAAGTACAACGTTTACAAGGGATTGGAAGCTGTTTTAGAAAAGTTAAAGTGCTAAGGTGAAACATTAAGGTGTAATAGATTAAGTGAGTGAAATATATCATTAATAAACACATTTATGTAGAAAACAGAATGGGGAAGTAATTAATCCTTAGGCCGACAACGTTCATTTGCAATGTATAATAAAACCAATATATTTTGTACTATCATGATGTCCACTTTTGGCTTTAATACAATTATTTTCAAGCCAGTTGTTTTATTTCATACCTTTTTGTCTATTTGGTGCACAACCGTACCCTACAGAGAATAGGAATAGAATAAGTGGAATCAAATTCATAAAGAGCTATAAAATGTTAGGTTTAATGGAATATAATGAGGATTAAGTAAAGACGTTATTAGAAAATAAGTGAGACAAGATATTGTGAAGTGGTATTTAAAGATCTGACGATGGATAGCAAGTTAATTTATAAGATGCCCCATAAATCTGTGCAGATCCCACATGGTCGCATCTCAACAATAGGCTGAGTGAATGGTATACATTTAAAGGTAGAAGCATGATCTGTCAAGGCGTTCATTATTATCTTTTTCAAGATAAAGATCTAAGCCCTCATAAAAATCATGAAAATCTCGAGCCTTCAAATTGCGTATTGCTGTTCCTGCAGAATGGGGTGATTCATCTTAGTGACCACCACCATATCTACTGATCAGCTAGCGCCACCCTCCCTCCTTTTTTTAGTTCGCTGCTGAGAAACCTATCAGTGACGGGCTTGAGCACTGGTGTTTTGGATGGTAGGGTCACGTTGCTTCGTTTTGTATGCTCTCTAGTCTGAGAACTACTCGCTGTACACGCTCGAGCTCAGCCTTTGCGTAACATTGGTTGTGGTATTAGCAGATGATGGTGGTGATGTGTCTAGAGAGTGAAAATCTAAAGACGCGTCTAGGTCCATGACCACAGTTGCTCCACTATTGCGTTTACTAGGAAAAGCTCTATTATTTATAGTTATTTCATTTGCATGCATGACTGGAGTATTAGGTTTACTTGAATGTTAGCCGAAAGAATCTTTTGTAGGACGTTCTGCCGTTAGGTATTTATTGGTGACACTTGATACGCTTGCGCGGCTACGTCTTTGACATGACGTTGGGTTACGAATAAGTTTAAGGTTACCTTAAGGTGTAGACAAACTAATAAGGTTGTAGGACGACTGGAATTCCCTAGCATCTTTAGGACTACTGAATTGAAACAGCACAGGACAAGCATACTTTCCTGATTTTTCCTGTATCTAATTAGGTGGGAATTTGCTGATGGCATACCGCACGCTTGGAGACACGTCACTTTGACTTTGTCCGGAGGCATCTGATCATGCGGATTGGGTGCGAGAACACTGTAGGAACACACGATTCGTTTATTCACTTCATTCGTGAGGTAGGTAGGCGGTATTTCACTGAGAAGTGAATTCGAAGATCTGAAAGAATGTAACCCTCAGGACAAGGTAACCTGAAATATGTCTCACGAAATTCTGTAGGGCTCATGGGTGGCATTTCGACAAGTAGCTGAACAGGTTTGTGGACTGCGAGGGCAAAGCAATTTTTGTAGTTTAGATCTATACAACCCTTATTTTTTCTCTTCTAGTTAAGGGCCCAGAATAATGTTTAATTCTCGAGCTGTCTAAAAATGCATGTTGCTGTCCTACAGAACGGATAATAAGTGCCCTTCGGTTATTTTACCAGGTTTCCCGCCTCACTTACCCACTGCAATGCCCTCAGAAATATGATCTTTGAAATAAAATTAGTCTTCTACAATGACGCAAAATGTCTTTTGGTGATTTGGCAATGGTTTAACAAAAAGTCGGTTTCTAAATGAGTAAGGTGGTTGATTTTTCACTACCTTCTGTTTCACTATAGTTAACTGTTTCGCACAAAATTTTGTTTCTGTTTGTTTGTTCTGATTTTTTCATTCATATATACTTCAGTTTTAATTTTTCTTTATTCTAAAAGTTCCATTTGCTAAGCTTGGAAAAAACTCCGCTTCTGCAGAGGAAGGTTCTGAAGTCAAACTGCCTGAACTTAATCGAATTATCTTGGTCTAGGAAATCATTTAGTTATGCTGCTTGAACGACTTTGAGCTCTTTTCCAGTTAGTTTCGATGGAAAATAGCCTAGGCTATCCCCAAACTACTTTCTGACTGTTAAGCCTATTCCTTCTAGGTTGGTGGTGATGGTAGGGATAGATTATATAGATACACTGTGTTATCACAACACTGCCAGTGAACTCTTGTTCCTTGAAAAATATCTTGAACACCACGCGGATAAACAAATTGATGGTTGAACAGCTGAAGTTCAGTAGACTCCACGAACTTCTTTGACCATCTACACCAGAACTATAATATACTCAACTGAAGCACCACCTTGAGAGGAATGGCATTAAGTCTGACACTACCAGACATGCGGAAGTCTCTTTTCTGCTACCTTACCATATTATCAATGGGTTTCAGGAACTTATGCTTCACTCTCCAACCAAGTGGCCACACACACTACTTAGGCGTGAGGTTATCAGACCTTTGTTCACCTCCAAAAAGTAGCGTATGCCAGGGGCGCTTCAAGCAGAGAACATGAAATTAGATTCTTAACACACTTCTTATGCTACATGCAACAGCCTGCGGGGTTTGAAATATGATGAAGGCTGGACTCGAGGGAGGCTGGATGCTGGCACTCCTCAGGTGTATGTGGTAGGCATCAGACAGTCAAGATCCTGACCCATTTCTTCAGCGGTTAGCACGCGTTGCCTTAAGAAGCACACATAAGCTCGACAGGAATACATTGGACATTGGATATTGATAACAGTTGTTTTGTTCAATCAAGAATTAGATACTAAAGCGTCTCACAACTTTAAGATGACTAAAGATGAAGGACTGAAAAATTTGTGGAATCAGTTTGTTTTCCCTAATGGTGACTATTATGAGGGAGAGTATATTATGGGGAATTCAGGAGTAAAACGTCATGGTGAAGGTAAACTTATAAGCAAGTTTAGGAGTGGAGTATTGGACGTTGCGAATGATAATACTTCGGTGCAGTCGTCGAAACATCTTGTGAAGTTCATTCTTAGCTGTCAAAACAAAAAAGATTTTGATATTTCAATGCTTAGTGATTTATTCGGGGAGTCAGGGCTACATCATGGGTGCTACACAGGGCAGTGGGTGAATGATATGATAGATGGATTTGGAAAAGTGGAGTTCGCTTCCGGATCCTACTACGAAGGCAACTTCAAAGAAAATAAGTTAGTCAGTTTTTAAGGTTCCCTTTATTCACTCAAGGGTCTGGTAAAACCTCCCACCTAGCATTATTTTTGGTCGCACTGCAGACTTTGGGACAGAAAACTTAGGGCGCATAAACATACGTGGGACAGTATCCCTAAGCCTCCCCTAAAAGTATGCAACGCGCCCGGAGTCTGCCCAAAAAGTTTGCACTGTGCCCTGAGTCTGCCTCGGATTCTGCAATGTGCCCTAAGTCTGCCGTAAAAGTCTGCAATACGCCCGTAAAATATGTTAGCTGGATTGCTTTCCCTACAGTCGTGCAGATTTATAAGGATTATGTGTACATCGATTTACGTCTCACATCACTAGAGATATTGATCTTTATGCCCACATTAATAGTTTAGATTTGCTCTGCAATAGGAATCCACCGGTGATCACTTGAACTTGAACAAAACAACTTAAGTTGAACCTAGGTAACGGCTGATGCAATACATTCACTGGTCGACAGTTCTATGAAGACTTCGGTTTCCTTTAACCGGATTTAAGTAGAACAAACTGACTTCCGAATCTGTGGTGCGTTATATTAATGTGAGGTCACCTCACAGCAGCCGCCACCATGTTGGAAATAATCTTAGTTGATAAAATCTGTCACTATACGAGAGGCTTGGCATAGTAAATTTGATTTAGTCGGCTTAGTTCAAAGTCATTTTTGGTGGGTTCCAAGCCTCGGCTTATCCAACGCTGTACTTGAAATGTGGTCTAGTATGGTGCACAAAATATTTAAAAACCGTGGGTAGTAAAGATCTAGTGGAGAATCTATAATACGCCACTGTTGTATAATTTTCTGGGCTTCTCATATCATAATTTATAGCTACGCCTGAATCGTCCACTTTGTATCCATTTGTGCAATACAATCATTTATTGGGTGATTTTACATGTTGCTGTGAGCGACATGGATAACTACGTTTTCGCATATATTAATTTCTAAAGGCCATCGCGTTTACCAACAAATTTAAATGTCTTTGCTAACTAAGTGCATCAGTGTCACTGCACAAATCTCTTCGGAGGTTATTAGCGTCTGCTAACGCTCAGCAGAACGATATTATTATTAACAACATCTTGCCTCCATATATTAGGAAGAGAACGTGACCCAGAACTTTACGTTGAGGCATCCTACTTGTCACTGGTTACCGTGTTGATAGGACGCCGTTTGACATTTTTTCTCAGGAGATCTTGAGTTCAATAACTGATAATTCCATTCATCTCATAATTACCTAGCATCATTAGGGGATAAAAAGAGTCAACCTCATCGATAGCCGGGCCAAAGTTTGAGAAAATAACATCCACCGGACTATCCGCATCAGTTGTATTAATCCAGCTTCCTCAGGCTAAAAAGAAGATTGATTAAGCAGGCGTGATCTGCTCTACAACTACATTGTTCCTTGGCTAGAATTTGATTATTCTCAATGGGATAACGAATAAATCTATGGAGTAGTCTAGTAGAAATATTAGTTATAGTGGTGTGGCAGTAGTTCTTAGCCGAATTTTTAAGTTCGGTCTTAAATACCTAACTGATGATGATGTTCTCCCAGTCTTTTATGGTTTTGGACTACCTTAATGACATACTTAACAAACCTGAAAAAGTTTCGGCAAGCGACTATACCATAAATGAATATTTCTGTGATTCATCCCTCAGATTTATTAATATTATGAAAAGGCGATTTCAGATGAAACACAAATTTCTATAGAATAATTTTTACTGACCCGTATTGTTCGTATTCTAAGACCTATAAATAGTTTACGTTTTTTTAATTTTCAACCATAGAATGCATGGATTTGGTACATATTATTGGCCAAATGGGTACATCCTGAAAGCCCAGTTTGAACAGAACTACATCAAACATGATTCTGTGATTGAAATAATTGATCCAGACGGAAGAAAATGGACTGGACGGTTTAAGAACCAGAAAAACCAAGGACGGACAAATTTAGAATCAAAAAATGATTCACACGAGACCCAGCTATTTTGTAAATTAATGGAAAGTTGAAAAGAAATGATCAAATAAATCTTAGATGAAAACAGTTTAGTTTTTATCCTTTCTATAAACAATGGTGAAATATTTTGTGTTTTTATTTCCATTGTCAATCTTGTATAAAATTTCAGGATCCTGTGAAAGAAGATACAGACTCAGAATATAATTATTTGACAGAGTTACCATTTTCTACATTTTCATTGACCGGTGAGTTTCTTTGTATTACAATGCTTAAATGAATATTGTAGATTTTGTAATTGGAAATGTTCACAGATACCTTTTTCTCTAACTTCTCTTCTTAAGTAGCATATTTATCGTAATAAATGAAGCACATTTTAGTCAAGACTCAGGTTACTCCTAGTTAACGATTGGCAGTAAATTTAGTCACAAAACATCAGGTATGTGGATGCTAGTCATCCTGTCAGAAACATTTTATTTTACGACTTAGCATTATAACATACCTGGTTTGTAAATGAATACTGGTCGTGAAAGTCTGTTAGAGGAATTGCAAAATGTAGAACACTGCACAGATTCCATTATGGGTAAATTTTGTTTTGATAAAGTCTCACAGTGTTACACAGCAATGCTTACTGATGACGTTTCGAGCACAGTTTATTGCTCATAATCATATCAAGGTAATCACACGACTTCCTAACTTCATTCATATGGTTCCATTGTTTTTCACTTGACTTTCACTTGATTTGATTGGTAATAGTATTTTCCATATTTCGGCCATGAGTAATGAGTCATTCCTATTGCATGTGTTGGGTGTAGACTCAATGAACAAGGATTCAGTAATCAACCTCTTTCTCCACCTGTCTAGATTACCTTTTAGAATTTTAACCCTCTCCCACCCTATTGTGTGGTTATGTGTCAATGCTGGGCTTTTTTCTAAATTACTTATCTTCTCGGGGTCAACCGCTATTACCTTAGCTAAATTCTTATGTCCCCGACCTACTAGTTCGACCTATGTAGTTTACCACACTCACAGTCATTGGAGGGTATTTTGTAAATTATATTATTTTGTCTAATTGGGTCAACCAACAGGTTCCTTTAATTCACAGAGCTTGTCCCTGAGTGAGTTTGTAGGTTTAAATGCCACCCTAATTCCTGCTTTATTTTGAATCCTACGTGGGGTCTCAGATGTCCCCTCCTTATATGGTATAACAGTGGATGACTTATATTCTCTTTTATTTATGTTATCATTATTAGTTCCACAATTATTTTTATTTCGTTTTTGGCCTTTACTGAACTTCCTATTGAATTTTATAGGATAGTTGTTCAACATCAACGCTTCTTCTGTCTATTTTATTTCGTCATTTGGGTCTTTTCTGGTGCTACATAGTGCTATGGCTTGGTTTGTTAAACACTTAACTAAGCCTGCTTTAATAGTTAACGGATGAGATGAATTAAAGTCTAAATATCTATTAGCAGAATGCGTTGGTTTTCTATAAACACTAGTGTGTAGTTTGCCTTTTTCTATTTGTTTTATCTTACAATCTAACATCATGGCTAATTCTTCTTGTTCATTTTCTGATTCAAATGTAAATTTTATTCCCTGCACTAGTGGGTTTATATGTGTCAAGAAGCTAGAGAGATATGTTCTGTTTTTAACACTGTGGAAGTGTCATCCACATATCTCCACCATATTTTTGGAGTAGGATTAAATGTATTGAGGGCACTATTTCCCACACAGATTATTTCTACCTAATAAGCATCACCACAGAAACTGGAAAGCCTAAGGCTTGGAGCTCTATGTTCCAATTGGAACTTGAAGAAATCTAAGAAAAGGCACTACATTATATAGTAATGAAACAGAAGTCAACTCATCCAGTTGTGGAAGAAAACAAAATTAGTTAGTTCGTTACCAAAACGAGTACATTTACACAGACTAGGATTTATGAGGATACATCAACTGTTTTTTATTACGGCATCCGCAGAGACACCATTTAGACTTACTTCTGGGATACTGAGACTTTAGTGTTGTTAAGTGAACTGATGCCATTTTTCTTGAGGATTTTTGAGCTGTCTTTGAAAGTCATTCAAATGCCTAAAAAAGTCTCAAAAATGTTTCGCTATTCAACTGAAAATGCATTTGCATTCCCTTTTCCTATAGTGCACTTATAAATCATTTTTAATTTATTTTTCGAAATATTTGAACAGTTGGAATTACGTCTATTGCTTTCTGTCCTAAACGAATGAATATTTATCTGTTTTATATTATTTATTCCGAGCATATTTTCCAAGAGCACATCAGTTCGTCCAACTGATATCGATGTTCGTTTGATAAGAGTTTGTGACATAAGAATTACCTATTTATGTGGTGGTCCAGACAACAGTGTAGAGAAGTTGTTTTGAAGTTGTTCGAATCATTAACTAAGACGGAAAATAGTTCTCATCTCAGAGTTATTGAACTCTCCAAGTGAACTTTTGTATTGAGTCTATCAACACTTCAATTTGTCTTTTCGGCGATTTCATTTTCAAAAGCTGTATAATCGCATTTAAATACAACACCTCCCACAACATCTCAACTGATTCTTTCAAAGTAATTTATAAAGTCAACAGAAACCTACCAAAATCAGTATGTTTCCGACTTCTCTGTACTGTAGAAGCCCTCGCAATATGCATCGAGAAGCCGGAGCTGTGTGTTCAAATGAAATTAGTCCAACCTCTACAACTACCATGGACCTAGTTCGGCATGTTCCCTTAACCTCCTTTTTTCTTCTTTCATTTTCTTTTTTCTTTTTGATCTTTTTTCGTTCACTGTGTGTGTGATTCTTACTCCGTCTGTCTTCATTCGATTCACCCATTTTTTCACTTATAAGAACAGTTATTTTAAGTTTCTTTCCATGCTCCTCCTGATCACATTTATAATTCGTTTAAAATAACTATTTTACAATTTTTTCTTGGTCTTGTGCAATTTTTGTGTTTCTAAGGCTCTTGTTATCTATATTCGCACCTCATAACTCCCATCTCAAGTTGAAAATTATTATTTCAATTTTGTTTCCATGCTGATTTTTACACACTTGTTATCCCTTCTAATCCTGTGTAATTTGGTTTCTAAGCCTCTCCTCGTAAAAACCATATCTAGTTGAAAATAATCATCAACTTTTATTCGCCGTCGTAATTATGTGGAATCAAACAAGAATTGTATCCCTGTAAACTTGTGTATTTAAATGTGATTGTACAGCTACTTTTGAAAATGAAATCGCCGAAAAGATCGCCATCTTTGCTGAACTCAGTGTTCTCTTCTTTCTAATGTCTATATGGTTCTTTTCCACGATCTGAAGAAAACTTCAATTTGTGTTACTAGATTTTGACTTGAAAGTAGTACTGCAATCTTATATCCGTATTCCTTGGATTATTGTTTTACTGTGTTTCACCATCTGGTTCTTTGATCCTTAAGTTGGAATGCATTGATACTGTCTGTCTGGTCCATCGGTTACGTAGGTCGATGGATTGGCTGACTAATGTTGATTAAACTCAAAGCCGTAATACATACTGCAGAAACCCGTGTATAACTGACTCTGAGCATATTTTAAGTGAATGAATACAACTAAAAAATACAGTGGTTATACACTTGCACTACATGAATACGACACAATGTCTAAGTGATCAATTAAATACTGTTTTCACTCTACTAAGACGACCCATGAAGCGGAATAAGAATGCAAGACATTTTTAAAATCACTTGAGTTAATAATAATAATAATAATCTACATTATTCCAAAAGAGCAGTACTTATAATACAGAATGGAATTTCCAGCATTTGTCACAGTATCTTGCATCTGATTTGCTTAAAATATAAATAAGATTAAAAATTAAAACAAAAGTAACCAGAGGAATTTGTCCACGTTTACGATAGAAAGTCAAAAATATTCGAAGCACAAATTGAGAATATTAAATATAATAATACTCATAATAACAGTGAGTTTGTTTCAAACAGTATTGTCGATTCAGTTTGGAAACTTCAGCATGTTATAGATTATTGAATCTAATGTTCTAATGATATAGCAGCATGGTGAGGGGAAATACAAAATTAACAGTTATTCACACAGCCCAAACGATGTTCACACTTATGAAAAAAATATAAAAAATATTGAGAGGATAATAAATATAACAAATACAATAACAATAAAGTTTGGTACTGTAAGGGTGGAGGAAATGGTTTATTTAATAGTGCAATGAAGGTTAGTTAGTTAGTTCATGCCTGACACTATTTTCATCACATAAAATACGTGCCGTCAAATATGGTATTGTGGAATTTTTATACTTAGACGTACGTGCATAAAGTCTTCTGGAAAGACTTCTTGTTTTACCTGAGGAGACACAAGGTTGGAGCTGCGATTAGAGTGGGGGATGCTCAGAGTCTGACAAAATTCCTTTAGCAAATTTGTTGCATGACATCAAGTGCCTATCAGTAACAATGTCAACTATATGGCCCAATGGGATACCACCCGTCCTACTGACTGACAGTCTTCAGAGTTCTACGAAGTATGACATAGTCGTTTTTAAGCAATCCAGGAAATAATAAGCAGGGGTGAACAGTAAAGAAGAATAGGTAAAATACATGAGTTGACAAACTGTAAGAGGAGGGATTGGTCGGGTTATGTCTGAGTGCCTTAACCTCTTCTTAATGTAAAAAGTCAGACTAAATATTCTTTTAGAAATCGCTAGGACATGTGAAGACCAGGATACGTCAGAAGAAAGAATTAATCCAAGCTACTTAACTTCACACTTGATTTCTATATCAGTATCATCAATTTTGCGAAGAAATCTCTTTTTAAAATTCACTTCAAAGCTGACAGTTACTTAGGTGACTTATATATACAGTTTTAATTGGAAAAGGGAGTCAGGATTATTGTCATTTAGTAAACAAATAAATCAAAATATATAAGTGTTAAGAATATTTGAGGTTTGATTACAGAACCAGGGAGTACTGGAGAGTTGTGAGTATATTTCCTTGAGTGATTCTGATCTAAATACTTGACCACGGTTCTATTCGATATTTCTTAGGTAGGTGCAACGGCGGTATTCAGTGTAAACATTATTCGGCTTCTGTTGATGAGTTTGGCTTCTACATCTGTAAAAGTGCTCAAATTTTCGTAAGACTTTATACGTTGGTACTTCTGCTTACTTCTTCTGACAGATCGATAGTTTGTCAGTGTACAAACATCCGGAATTCGGAAGAATTTCTAAAGTCAAGTCAGCGTTTTATTTCGTATAAAATGTCGGTTCATAAGTATCTATCTTTTAACTAATACAATATTAAAACAGTAGTATGATGAATATTTGTAAAAAATTATATTAGTAAAATCTCAGAGAGATTCAAATGAGCAATTCCAACGTTCCTATGTGCGGAAATCTCGTCCGAATTTCTTCAGGGAAATTAATCGAAATTAACATAACAGAAGTTTATATATATATAAAAGGAACATCTCTTGTTTTTGTAAAACGCTGTTCAATCATGAGTCATAAAACAAGTATCAACAACAAGTATTGTAAACAAAATTGTATGAGCTGTGATCAAAATTTGACCTAGAACTTACAAATATTGGTCTACCTTTGTTAAACACTTTCAGCACAGTGTATATGTATGTGTGTGGGTGAACAGTTGTAAATCATTTCTTAACCTCTCTATAACGTCTCGACTATTCTGTCAAATCTTCATTTGAATGATTTTGAAATCGAATTAAATTAACAAAGAAACTATGCAATTGGCACAATCATTGTGTGTGTCTGCAACAGAATGCATATATCCTAAATCCGTAGCTGTCGAGTCACCTGACAACTCCAGTAGGTCGAATAAAGCAGCTCAATCTTCAGAAAGAAGACAAAACAATAAGTTCGACAGGGTGCTTCAACTAAACTATAATCCTAAACACCATAATTTTGAAAATACGTCGAATCATAAAATTCTAGATACTAACAGTTTGAACAAACATGAAGGTGAGATGTGTGTTAGCTGATGCATAGGAAATCCTGATTAATAAATAATAAAGGATATGTATCACTAATTAATAATACTTGGTCGAAATTCCCGACTGTCTATATCTTCTTCTTATGGAGACGTTAAGAAATGTTTTACAACTGTTTCCACACACATACACACTATGTTTAAGTGTCTAACAAAGTTAGACGAATCTTTGTAAGTTCGAGGTCAAATTTTGATCACAGCTCATACAATTTTGTTTACTATACTTGTTGTTGATACTTGTTTTATAACTCATGATTGGACAAAGCTTTTAAAAACAAGAGATGTTCTTTTTACACATATATAAACCTCTGTTATGTTTATTTCGATAATTTTCCCTAAAGAAGTTCGAAGCAGATTTCCGAACATAGGAAACGTTGGAATTGCTCATTTCAATCTCTCTGAGAATTTACAAATATAATTTTTTTACAAATGTCTACTTCTCACTCGGCGCTCAAAAATTTTAGAACTAATCTGTCAAATCTTGACGACAGATCATTTGAAGTATGATGAATAGTTGAATGAAGCTTTTTATTCACCACTTATTCATGATTTTGTCAAAAGGGTTTATATGATAAAAAGAATTCTAATCCAGTCTTCATTATCTACTCTTTGACAGCTTTCCTTCATATATGAGTGATCTGTGCTTGTGTTATGCAACTTTTTCTATAAAGATTTTAACATTCTGGATGGACAGATCCAATGTATTAATTACTTTTTAATTGTAGACTCTGAAGAGATTAATCAAACACTTGAAGAAATCAATCATTTATTTGATAGTCATTTTAAAACAAATGACATATATGAACTATTGAATATTGAACAGACAAAAAGTAGACAAGAAGATGCGAAAATTATCAAGGGGAAAAAGAGAATCAAGCTATTGGATACAATATTAAATAGTAAATTGAGGGAGGAAAAAGAGGTATGATGGTGGAAATGAAAAACCCAAATTTTTAAATTTCAACTTTCATGATCGTTTTTTTTTCCTTCACGTTCACCAGTGTAACATAGGGCTTCACGCTAGTGGCTTGAAGTTTCTGTAGCAGTGTTTATTTTACAGGATGGGGTTGCTAGCCTCATGCCCAACCTTTCCTCTTTACCAGCATTATTTCTAGCTTAGCGAGGTAAAGGAGCGCGTTGGCAGCCGGGGATTGAACCCCGGACCATGCGCATGGTCGGCGAGAGTCTTACCGCTTTGCCACCGACGCAAAGTTTTAAACTGTCAAATATCACATGTATGATTTTGAGTATAATTTATATAAAGATAAAACTTAGTCACTGTAGTAGAGAGTATAATTCCGTTATGGATTTATTCCCCTTGATGAATTTGAATAAAACAAGAACAACAGTGTGGTTTGTGCAGAATCATATAGTACCATCATTTATTTCGTTGGCTTCTCATCAGCTGCCTACAGCCTAAATAAATTATGAGGTTTACGTACAGAAACGTTTTGACATACTTGCAAATTTTACATGTTGTCAGTTGACAGAAAGTTCCACAATTAGTAAACAGTGCTCGGAAAATTTCGCTTATATAGTTTTTTTACACAGGCAGTTGAATTTTAAACAAAATAAATGTATGGATATAATGGTAAAGTAGTTACGTATTAAAGATGAGATGTGGGTTAGATGCATAGTGACTAATAATTTAAGTAACAATGTACTGAGTTCAACTCAAATCATAGAAACAAGAGACAAGGAAAAGAAGACAAAAGCAAAGCACCCCCACCCCCGATTTTCTGGACATGTGCAGAAAAGCCTATGTCTCAAGGGAACAAACTCTAATAGTAGCTCTATTACCAAATAACTCCTCGACATGGGTTATGAGGTGGAAATCGAGAAATCCTTCAAAATTATCAGTAGAAAAAGAAGCTGCATTCTCCTCAAGTTTATCAAAGCAATTTCTATCGAACGCTTGAAACCAGATTTGTGTGTTCAGAAAGAAGCAGTTATCAGTCTTTCCTTGCCAGTCTGGTAACTGAATGTCTTTATTCTCTCATCTGATTGCGTAATCTCTGTCTTTAACCTCACCCTCTTTTTATAATCTGTAATTTTGCTTGTCTCTTGTTTCTGTGATTTGAGTTGAACTCAGTACATTGTTACCTAACTTATTAGTCACTATGCATCTAACCCACATCTCATCTTTAATACGTAACTACTTTACCATTATATGCATACATTTATTTTGTTTAAAATTCAACTGCCTGTGTAAAAAAGAACTATATAAGCGAAATTTTCCGAGCACTGTTTACTAATTGTGGAACTTTCTGTCAACTGACAACATGTAAAATTTGCAAGTATGTCAAAACGTTTCTGTACGTAAACCTCATAATTTATTTAGGCTGTAGGCAGCTGATGAGAAGCCAACGAAATAACACAATGATGGTACCATATGATTCTGCACAAACCACACTGTTGTTCTCGCTTTATTCAAATTCCATAAAGGATAAAGTTTTCTTTTGATAAAGTCACACAGTGTTATACAGTAATATTTGCTGGTGATGTTCCATAATGAAATTATGATTTAAAGTGTTTGCTTTGTGAAATGAAGAAGTTTTGACTTTGTAACTCAGAGTAAAATTGAATCCTAATCTTACAACTGTCACTTTGACGTGAAAAATGAAACATTCACTTAGGGAATCTGTTTTCATGAGATATTTAAGCGTCTTATTTAAATTTAGATTAATGATGTTACCAATTGCCGTAACAGCGTTAGCTTTCATTGTATCTGTAATAATATTAAAATAATTATTTTTATTATAATGCAGTGTGTAGAACCTGGATGATAGCGAAGTTATTGCTAAAATATGACCGACAGCTATTGATCTAGCCATTATTTCACTCAGTGAAATGTCTCTTTCCAGGAAACTAGAGTTTAAAAGTGGTTGACAGTCATTTATTTGACCTTTACTAGTCCTGAATCATGTCTCATCGTTAAGCTATCAAGTTACTGGCTCATTGGAAGTGACAGGTACCTTTAAGAGGTTGTAGGATCCGTTATTTGAGATGTAACGCTAAAGTTTTTTTTCCGAAAGCCTAAATGTCTACTCTTTGGTAGTTTGACAAGTTAGCATTTTTTTCAATCAGTAAGTACTTTTCTTTTCTGCCAAACTTTCAGTAACAGTGACGTAAGGATATCTAGTGAGGTCTCTGGACTCATTTCCGGTGCTTCCAGGGAAATTCCCTCTGGTCCTGTAGCATTCTTAGCTGGCTTCCAGTAACTCAGACTAGTGGTATATGTCTGTCTGTTTTCGACATAGAACTTTGTACTGATGTGCACCAGTTCAAGTCGCCACACTCCCTCCTTGTAGCACACAAAGCAAGAGAAGAAAGTAGAAGAAATGCATAATGGAGACAGTAAACAGAGGTGTGAAACAAACGAATAGTAGTAACGAAGAACAATATAGTTTTATTGGAAATCATAAGTCACAAGGAGTGGATGCATCTGCGACAACCATTGAGAACGATTTTGAGCCATATCACCAATTGTTACCAGTCATTCGTTTTTATCGTCCCGAGGACCCCAACCAGCCAGTCAGGAAGTCTACACCTTCCTACATGACTGGCTTAAACTAACTGTGGTGGATTTCATTGACTGGTGCCATGTTTTTGTTTGACCGCCGCTAGCTCGCTCTTTTCCAGCCTGACCCTATGTCAGCTAACATTGCCCGTCGGTCGAGGAAGGCGATGATTAGGCATTGATGCGTAACACATGTCCTAACCATCTCAGTCGATGTAATTTCACAGCCTCGTCTATTGATTTCCCTTCCCTACCTATCACTCAACCGATGCCTAAACTTAATATTGCTCACCTTATTATACCACTTCACACGGGGGATAGAACGCAGGCACCTATGATCAAAGACAACTAATCTTTTCATGTCTTCCACTCTCAATGGTCAGCTCTCACTCACAGCCATAAAGGAGGACGGAGCGGACTGATGAGCAGTACACCCACCCTTTGGTCGATAGCCAACCGGAAATCACGTCTACGCCAGAGACGGCATAAACTGGCATATCCGAAACTAGCCCTCTGTATCCGTACTGAAATTTCGTCAGAGATCAACCCGTTGGCATTGACTGATGGTACTTCCCAAATAAGCGAAGTGGTCAACGTGCTCTACCACTTCACTTACTATTTCTAAACTAGGAGTCAGTGTGGTCCAGTCAGTCCTGTAACATCATCTTACATTTCACGGCGGGAGCGAATCGCATGCCAAACATTCGTAGATTGGAGCTCAAGGTGTTTAGTAGACTCTGCCCTATTTTGTCAGCGTCCTCGCCTAGAAGGACTATATCGTCTGCATATTCTAAGTCAATGAGATTATCCCCTGGTAGCAAGTCAATCCCTGTGTCTCTGAAGTGAGTTAGGGTGAAGTCCATTAGTACATCTATAATGAAATTGAATAGAAATGAGGATAATGGGCATCCCCGACGGACACCACTAGTCGTCGTCACCACTTCAGATGACAACTAATGGTATATGGCATATTGTGTTTTGTATAACAAATATTTAAATATATGTACATATATATATCCCTTAATATCTTGAAACACCGAATTTATTGTACGCCTTAATTAAATACTATTGACGCTTATTACTGGTATCTCACTTTCTGAAGGTTAAAGAAAAAACTCGAATTTTACATAAAGAAATTGAAAATGAATTCATTAATTTATTATATCCTGATATAAAATCTATTCAAAAATTCAAAAATATGAAAAAACATAACAGTCAGTTGGATAATACTGGAGAAAATTCAAATCAATTGGTATTAGCCAGTGATACATTTGAACAATTTAATCCTCTTTCAAATGAAATATGTCGAAATATAGAAAAATTTTTAAAATTAAATAAGTTAAATTCATCACTGTATGATGATACTAAAGGTAATTCAACTTAGTTTTGATTAGAATTAAAAACTAAGCTTTTTTCAACTTGTTTTCAAACTAATCTGTTTTCTATAGTACTAGTCGACATCGTCTGATTATATATAGATATATTGAAAACCAAGGCGTTTTAAGCTTTTTGGGATTGTTCACAGACTATCTCTTAGAATATATAACTACAGCAAGCCACTGACTTGCGATCGATAGTTCATCTTCATTTTTGTCGGTCATTTGCCACTCAAGGAAAACTAGATTGTACGTTTGGTATTTACAGCACAGGCTATCAGTGTTCTACTGTTTTGATTACTCGTCAAACTAAAGTCATTTGGTCTCAGTTATGGGTATAATGCACCATCTTCAATGGCACTTCACTTGGCGAGAATAACACAACCGAAGTTGTTATTATAATATTCTCAAATGTTGGTTTGCAGACATTTGATTGATCACAGGCTTGACCACAAGCTGACATCAGTAAAAGAACCACTGGAAAACCAGTAAGTGCTGAACTACTTTTTCTTCTTGGTTTGCAGCTTTCCAGCAGTACGACTTGTCACTCGAAGGTCTTAGGCCCGAACCTCAATAGAGGTGTGTACTGTTGAAGAGTCCTGAGTTAGGACAAAACAGCTGTCCAGTACTCCCTGGTTTTCCACTGGTTCTCTAAGTGATGTCATGTTATTATCGAAATGGAATTATGATGCTCAAGTAAGTAATTAATTAGATTGTATTAAGTAGTGTGAGCAGTAATCGTTGATAGTAGTGATAACAGTAATGTGGTGAATGGCCGTAAAAGCAATTGTTTTCGAGGCTATATTCATCCTCTATCTTGACGAGACAAGGAGTTCATCATCAATGGCAATCATCAACTTGCCACTTTGAAATTTATACACTTAAATAATTTAGATTATGGGTTTTTAGTAGGGATTTGTATTAATTTCAGCGGTTTAATTCTGTTAAATTGCAAACTAACGTCAGTTAATGAATTACGGAAAACCTGGGGATACTACAGAGATGTTTCGTCCTAGTTTGGGCCTCATCATCACTTCAAACCCACAACCACACCAGGATCTCCAGTCTACTAGACCAGGTCGTTGTCTGTACAGCCGACACAGAAGTATAAACACTGTGTGAATCCACTGACAAATAGAAATTTCAACATTGAAACTGAAAACATCACATGCTTACTTTACAATTCATACTGTATGCTTTAGGTGTTTGTAATTAGTACCGAGTTGACATCACAGAAAATCATACACGTTAATGAAACTTAACATCTGCACAATATTTTACTGAAAATTGTTTACTACTTTCATTTATTTAGAGTAGTCAAAGTTTATTGAAAATATTTTAATCACTATTTTACAGTGAATAAGAAAAAAGGCAAATTTATACATCAGAATTGTGGGACTGTAGACGATATAAAAGAAGAAGGCGGATTTGCGTGTAATTCTATTTTCAAAACGGAGTGCATGAGTAGAGCTGAAGTGTGCATGCAGAAGAAAAAAGAAGAAAGAATAGATAAGTTACTCGATGAAGGTGAGTATGTTATCAAACCAAAAGTTAATATTCAACATTTCCTAATAATAAGCATGCAGCTTCCATAAACACAAAATGCCTCATTGAACTATCGAGGCAGATTAAAAAGCAAATTTGATCCTTTGAAGAGGATGTGTCAGTAAGATATGCATTCTGCTTCACGTATTGGAACAGAGGTATGCTACATACATTGGATATTATCTTTACTTCATAAATTGTGAACCAGTTCCGGATTTCAACATTGTGTACTTCATTTCGTATAATCAACTAGTAAAAGCGATACATGTCAAGGTGTTTACTCAGACACTATTTGTCTTTCTCTTTTTTTCTGTTTTGATAAGATCTATTGCAAATTATCTAAATGAGGTGGTCTGTATATCAATGATATTCACTCCTTAAATATCAGTTCCGATTCTAAATGGAAAAGCTTGTAAAGGTCTTCATCTACTTCTCTGGATTAGCATGAAACATAATCTGCTAACAGCAGATTTCACAGTTAACTTAATGTATGCAAATGATGTAATTCTGTTGAAATTTTAAGTGGGAAAGCCTTTAAAAAACTTTGAGTGGTAATTTGAAAGTGATCGGCATGCGTTCCTAGTATATCAACAGTAATTTGTCCATATATGCCCAAACCAAGTTCACTTTTCACAGTTTGAAAAAATTTGGGCATTGGGTATATGATATTCATTATAATAAAGGTTTTTGTATCTCCCAATGAATGAAAAACAAAACGATATTGTTTTTACTGACGTTTCGCTATTCAATGCTAATAGCTTTCTCAAAGTATTATTAAACCGGAATTTACAAAATGTCAGCATATATATAACAAAGAGTTAAGGGTGAGAAAATAGACTGCTTAGGTCAAGTTAAAATCAGGACATATTGAAAGTCAAAATAACAATGAAGATCAGTCACTAAACCAAATAACAATGGTAATAGTACATCTGTTATGATATCAAAATAAAGTTTACTAACTTGATCATCGTTCGTCTGTCTGGCGTCATTCTTTGTTGTCAAGTTGGTCGTTTGGTAAAGATAACAAAATCAAGTGTAGATTGTTGGATTTGATCAGTGTATAAAATTATAAAAGCAGTGTGTGTTTACATAGTGAACTTGCTTATCACATTCGTGTTGATTTTGTCACTTCATGAGGGAGGGAAGTGTTGTGACCAGGTTAGATTCTGTTTTAATCCATCATTCCTATTCAGTTCAGACAATTTGGATTTCACTTGATATGGAGTGTTCTGATATTAGACGTTCTTTGTGATTTCTGAAGTTTTTCTGAATTATTTCAATGTTGTCAGAATCAATTTTTTGGACTGATTCTATAGCGTCTAGACCTATGGTTGATGATTTTCCTGAGAGTTTCAGTAATGTTTGATATTTCTTCTTCTTCTTTTTCTTTCTCATCCGTTATCAGAGAGTGTGCTCGTCTAAGAAGACTTGAAACAACTGAAATCTTTGCACTGATAGGGTGTGATGACATGAAGTCTAAATATTTTTGGAGTGAGTTTTCTTCCTGAGTGTGGATATACTAAAATGTCCGTTTTCCCTCCTCTTAACCAGGCAGTCTACAAATGGTAGTTCATCGACATCTGATTCTGCTTCTGAAGTGAACTGGATTCTGGGAGATACACAGTTTATTTTCTCCAGGAATGAAATGTGTAGATCTCGTTTTAGCACTACAAAAGTATCATCCACATATCTTAACCATATTTTAGGCATGAGTATGCTTGAAAATATGTTATTTCCGAATTTATTCATGAAAAAGTCGGCGACTATTCGGGAGACTGGTGAATCCATAGCAACACCATTTGTCTGTCTATATAAATTCCCTTTAAAAGTAAAATATTTACTTTCAAGACAGAATTTTAAGCTCTTAATTATTTCACTGGTGTCCAGTGGACATCTTTTCTTGATAGCGTTGAATCTGATTCTAGTAGACTGGAAATGATATCCCGGCATTCGGTAATAGGGATACTAGTATATAAAGAGTTAATATCATCATAGCTTACCATAATGTCTTCTTTATCAATTTCTCGGTGTTCTATTTGGGATTTGAAATCATATGAATTTTTTACAATATTTTCAGTGTCCTTTTGTAGTGGTTGTAGTACCGAGAGTAAGTATGTTGGTGAGTTGGTGAAATCTATTACTGGTCTTAATGGAACTGTGGGTTTATGTATCTTTGGTTGACCGTAGAATTTCGTCTACGATGATGAATCATTTGCTTGCAAGAAGTAAAATGGATATATATATATATCGAATGAATAGAAGTTGTTTTGTATGATTCTTGTTCAACAGGGACTGGCGTAAATTCAAGTACATTCTCAGAAGATAATCAAATGAGTAGTCAGTCAGAATATATTCATCAGAATTCATCTTTTGCAGAATGTGTATTCAATCCATTTAATGCGAAATCAAAAAGAAGCAATAAGAATTTTATTAAACGCAATATTGAGGTAAAATACAGTATGTATGTATGTAATTACATGATTTGACATTGGTATCATCAAAAGGGACAGAAAAAGTCAGTACTGCAGGCCAAATGCCATTATGCTAGGCACACAAATAGTGAACAGGCTGTGCAGTTGACAGTGCCTTGGAAATCATGCTACCTGTTTTACCGACTATTAATCTTATTATTTTTCCAGAAAATACTGATTAACTAATTCATCTAGAGAAGAAAGAAATAAGAATTACTCAAAGGATCATAAGGAAGAAATATGGGCATTACTCACATGTCAACTAAGAAAATCAGCTATTCCAAACATTCCGAAAATGTAGGAGTACTGGACAGCTGTTTCGTCCTATTTTGGGACTCTGGTTCAGCAGTACGCACCCACCCTGTTTCGAACCCAGAACCTTCTGGTTACGAATCAAGCTCGTACGCCATTAAGCCACTGGGACCCGATCCAATCACCCATGAGTTCTAACTTCTGCCAATTCACGACATAGCGCAACCGCTGGCCAATGTCTTCGGCGGCGAGTATTTGTCCTCACACCCGACCTGGTGCACCCTACTGCTCAACACTTGTCACTAGAACCCCAGGTAACTACCTACATGAATAGGGCAAGTGGCTAGTGAGCATCTCATCGATATTCAAGTGGGTGCGTACTGTGAAGAGTCCCAAACTAGGACGAAACAGCTGTCCAGTACTCCCAGGTTTTCCGATGGTTCTCTAACAAATGTCAGCTCATGATGAAATCATGTAACCAATGAAATCCCTACAAACCAACACTTGAATACCAAAAATCCCTAGTCAGCCATCTTGTTCAGTGTGCATTTCACAGCACTACTGTTTGTAATCTTTGTGGATTTGGGTTGACTAATTCTGTGTGTATCTGTGTGTGTTTAGTGAGACTGTATAGTGAACGATGTTGTCGTTAGATGTAGAGTATCAGATGAAATAGAGGTATCGATTAGTGACAGACAGTGTTACACAAAGTAAGATAATCAGTTGTAAGAAGGATTCTCGTGAATAAACCAAGAAAATGTCATACATGTAATCGTTTCCTGCGAAATGGGTAAATGTGTTGGCAAATTCACTTATTTGAGAACTTGCATCGGTACTAATGGAGTGATGTCGGCGTTAAGCGAATCCCGCCATCTTTGGTGGAAGTGTAACATACGCCTGTCGGTCAAAATACGCGCGTACACAGCACCAGTCAGTTTTGTCTTTCTTTACAGCTATGGGAAATGGATGTTAAAAGTCAAATATATTACGAGACTAGCTGTCTTTGACTGTAAGTAACTGCCTTCAGCCTCCCATTTTAAGTGGTATAATATTGTCATTAGTGATGAGGTTATGCACAGAGTGCTGGGGTTGGAAGAAAAAATTAATCAATGAAGCTATGATGCTGCATTGACTGAAATGAGTGGAACATTTTTAAAGTATACAGGATCATAGCCTTTCTCGATAAGTAATGTTGGCTGATATATGATTTATAATACCAATCCATGAAGTGTCTGACTGTTGGTGTAAGCCAGTCACTTGGAGTTGTGTGCCTCAGATCTTCAGCAGTCTCATGCAACATCTATATGACAGACAATGCCATATGTCAAGTGATCCACAATGGAAAACACTTAGCGAAGCCTTTGAAGTAAGTACAGAAGTAAGAATAGGCTATCTGCTATCATCAATGATATTTCCAATTTTGGTGGACTGGACTATGCAGTACACTATGCCTTGGGAGCAGTAGGTCAGGACTACGCTGAACCTATAAGAAGACTTTAGAAGAACTGTTATTCTCGGATAATTTTTACCTTATATTAAGCAAACTAGAAGACTTATAGGTGGGAAACCAACAAACTAAAAGAATAAGCAGGTAGCAAAAGCCAAGACTTCAAATAAAAGATAGAGAAGATGGATGGAAGTGGTGAAGGTAATTAGTCAACAACCATTAACACCAGTCGGTGTCAACGGGAGAGATTTGACAGAGGTTAATTTCTCCACTTATCTAGGAGGCATAATTTCAACTACAGACAGAACGGATGAAGATGTCAAATTCAGAATCAGAAAGGCCAGGGTACACCTTCATCATTGTGAAGTCAGTACACTGAACTATTCTGCATTCAGGACAAAGAGCAAAAGTGGAATTTTCAACACCAATGTCAGGTCAGTCAGTTCTTCTATACGGGTTACTGTGGACTGTTATCAACAGCTACCTTCGCCAGTCCAAAGAATATGAAGTCTGCTTATCTAATCTTCAAAGACCACTGATTACAGAAGACATATTTATACACATTTGAGGCTTTTGAAACGCTTAGCATAACTAATAAAAGCGCGATAGGGATATATTTGTGACATATTAACAGTTTTGAAGACAAATTTACAGGATTTTCAAAAGTGAAGAAAACATAAGAATGGAATGTAACGCTTCTAGGCGAATTCCATTTTATACTACTGTTTCACCTTCTTATCAGTAGTATGTGTTAGAAAGTACTTTTACTTAGAGATTCTTTTTTTCGATCGCTGAATATACTTCATTGAACTAGGATAGTATTGCCTTCCTGTCTTAATCATTTTCAAAAAGGATGCATATGTCATCCATATGCCGACAATAAAAGAAGAATTTTATGATAAGGTTGTTTAAAGGACTATTTTTATTTTAGTTTACTGAGAAATCAATCTGCTAACATGGGACCAAATAGAAAGCCCATTGGGCACCCTATCAGTTTATCTATGCAGTGTGCCATTCATGGAACACTGTATTAACAATTCTCTAAGAATTTCAATTGGTATCCCACTTTTTATTGACTTGTTATTTATTTGTTCACAAATGTAATTAACCGCCTAGTTTAGTGGTACACTTGTAAATAAAGACAATACGTCGAAAAATATTATCTCCATTTACAAATGTACCTTTAATTGAAATGGTTAATTACATCATCTGTGAACAAATAAACAACAAGTCAATGAATAACAATGGAATCCCAGTAGAAATCCTTAGAAAAACTGTTAATATAGTGTGCCATGAATGTGAATTTTAAGACGGACTGTGCAAATAAATGAATCACGAATATGGAAGGATCAGTTGAGGTTCACGTACTATGTTAAATTCGTTCATCAATACTGACCAGAAAGATGAACTGGCCATTCATTCATTGCAAAACTATTCAAATCAATAACTACTTGGGAAAAGAGGATGTATATAGAAAGAACGACAGGTTAAACTTTTGTACCGCACGAAACGTTTTGTAAAATCTGCTTATTGTTGGTATTTTATGAAAGAAACCTTTATTAAATTGGTAGATATTCTCTGATTCTATTATTTTTAAATATGTACGACAGTTGGCCTCTAGATGGATGGATGTTATGCCAATGACAGCCGAGGAAGAGGCACGTATTGAAGAACTCTTGGCTGATCAAGATGAAGATATTGCTAATAAAGAGGGAAGTGTTACTTTTCAGAATGCCTTAAATGTGAGTGCTCGTCAGTGTTTGATTTTGTTCTCATTCACGTTCCCAGTGGAACATAGAGCCTCCAGCTATTGGTTTGAAGTTTCTGTAGCAGTGTTGTTAATTTTTACAAGATGGGGTTGATAGCCTTATGCCCAACCTTTCCTCTTTACCAGCATTATTTCTGGCTTAACGAGGTTAAGGAATGTGTCTGTGGCCTGGGATCGAACCTCGGATCTTGTGCATGGTTGGCGAGCGTCCTAACCGCTGTGCCACCGACGCAAAAGCCGGCAACACCCGGTATTCCCAGCCGGTCACCATGCAAGTACTAACCAGACCCAACGTTGCTTAACTTCGATGATCGGATGAGAACCGGTGCTTTCAACATGGTATGGTCGCCAGTGTTTGATTAGTTTGAGATATGCATAGTCGCGTTTTTAATTTTCTAAACACTAACTGTATACATAACTTGTGATAGTCACTTACAGAGAAGATATACAACAATAAATAGAATTTGGAATGCTTTTGTAGGGGAACACTCCACCTAAGTTCATTTAATCCATTCTTTTTAGTTAATTTACTGCTTTAAATGCTTTAAGTCCCTTTTTCCATCTCCTTTAGTTCTTTACACAAGTCAGCTGAACTTTTATTAATGTCGCTTACACAAATATAAGAACAGATTTGTGTCACAATACAGAATATTATTCCACATAACCTTATCCCTTAACTGTACTGCTGATAGAGTAGTATTTAGTGGACATAGTTTCAGGCACCATTTGTTTAACAGTGTCGTATTTGTCATAATGATTATACAGTAAATATATTTATAAATTATGTCGATATACATGAAGGATTTCATCATGAGCTGACATCAGTTAGAGAACCACTGGAAAACCTGGGAGTACTGGACAGCTGTTTCGTCCTGGTCTGAGACTCTGCATCAGTGAGCATCTGATGCTCACTAGTGACTGGCCCTATTCAGGCAGTTTACCTGAGGTTCTACTGGAAAGCCGTGACCAGTAGGGGACAGCAAGTTGGAGATGAGGCAGTAACTTATCGAGGAAGACAATGCGAAATGGTCGCGCTATGTCGTGAATTAGCAGAAGTTAGAATTCAAAGACCATTGGATCGGGTCCCAATGGCCCAATGGTCTACGAGCTCGCCTTGTAACCAGGAGGCCCTGGTTTCGATACCCAGTGCTTTCGTAGTGCTGAAGAGTCCCAAACTAGGACGAAACTGCTGTATGGTATTCCCAGGTTTTCCAGTGGTTCTCTAACCAATGTCAGCTGATGATGAAATCCTCCATGCAATCAAACAAAATCCCTACAAAACCAGGACTTGAAAATTATGTGGATGTAAATACATATCCACTTGTTCAATATAATGAGGAGACAGTACGAACTTAGCTGGCCTAAATGGCTTAACGGTAGACGAGCTTGCCCACCTATTTTGAAGGTCTCAATTCCAATCTCAGGTGGAGTCATGGGTGTACACTGCTTATCAAACTTAAAAACAACCAGTCAAATTCCTACAAACTTAAAGCTGAGTATTAGTAATATGCGTCAGTGGTTCACTGGTAGAATGTTGGCTGACCTCTCAAGGGATCAGGGTTTAATTGGCGACAGACACACTGCTAAAAGAAAACCACACCTAGCCAGTAATAATTCTGGTAAAGACAGAAGGTTAAGCATGCGGCTAACAATCCTACCCTTTAGGAGATAATGAGAAGTTCAAGTCTGAAGGCCTATGTTCCACTCAGAACACAAAATGACAACACAGTTATATGATTTATTCTAAGTTGAATAACTGCTCACACAAATTAATCATGATCAGAAAGCTTTATTTATGCAAAATATGATGAGGCCATCATTAATATCGTTGGCTTCTCTCCAACTGCATACAACTAACCTAAAAGTTAATTGTGCAATGCGTACAGAGAAATTCTGAAATACTTGCAAAGGTTACATGATTTTCGGTTAACAGAGACACCAAAATTAATAAAGAATCCTCTGAAGTTAAACTTTTAAAACTTACACTTACAATAACTTTACTCTCCTCATATTTACAAAAGTAATCGTTATCAGATGTTTCAAGCCTGATTTATGTATTCAGAAAGATTCGCTTGTCAGTTTTTCCTTGTCATGGCAACTGAGATTCTAATCTCTTCCTCCTGTCTGACTAGGTAATCTTCTGCTTTAACCTTTTCTCCATTTTCGCTTGAGTTGAACTCACCGCATTGTTACTCATCTGGTTGGTTACTTATCACCAAAATTTCCTATCTTTTCTTGACTAAGCAACTCACTTTCCAATGTGTTCGACTAATAGTATATGTGTAAAATTTGAGCACTGTGGTAGTTAGTAGTTCCATATTAGTTTGTTTATTAGATTTTTCACACAGTGAGTGAAACAGTATTATTTACTGGATGACACAGTTTCCAACAAAATTTATCATTGTTCATAACCATATCAGTTATAATCACACGACTTTGAAACATGAGTTTTATAGTTTTCTTTGTCTTCTCCTATTTGTCGTGGTTGGTGTAGTAGAGGTATATAGAGGTATATGTGGAGGTATGTAGATGATACATTCACTGTACTCAGAACACAAGATATATAGATAGATTTTCCGAACACATCAACTCAAAGGTGGAGGCAATTCAATTCACACATGAATTGGAAAGTCAGAAAGAGGAGCTTCCAATGTTAGATTGTAGAGTAAAAAGGAAAGATGATTGGAAGTTAAGCACACTGGTGTGTTTACAGGAAACCCACACATTCAAACAGATATTTGGACCTCCGATCATCCCATCTTATGCCAGTAAAAATTAGGATTGGTGAAATGTTTAAGTGACAAAGCACGAAAACTAAGTAGTACCAAGGAAAATCTAAGACAGAAAGTGAGACATATAAGACAAGCCTTGAAACTTAATAACTACCCGGATAAATTAGTCAGGAAATATGTAGGGAAATGTAAAATTCAAATAAATAATGATAATAGAGATAGTGATAATGATAATATTAATGATGACACCAACAATAAGGAATCTAAATCATCAGTAGTAATTCCACACAAGGAAGGAACCTCGGAAACCTTACGTTGAATTCTTAACAAGGCAGGCAGTAATAAAAGTGGCTGACACTCAAACCACCCCCAAACTCAATTAGAAACAAGCTTTGTCGGTTAAAGGATCAATCCTGCCGAGCCTTTAAAACAAAACAAGTTAGTTTATCTAATATCCTGCAGAATGGACGGAGAGATTGATAACGACGGAAGCTTTGTTTATCGAATCAACTGCAAATACATGTAATAGGAATGATTCAACACCTGTCCAGCCAGATATCTGGAAAATTCTACTACCACGCCTACGACGACAAACAGGAGAAGACAAAGAAAACTATAAAACTCAAGTTTCAAAGTCGTGTGATTACACAACTGATATGATTATGAACAATAAATTTTGTTGGAAACTGTGTCATCCAGTAAATAATACTGTTTCACTCACTGTGTGAAAAATCTAATAAACAAACTAATATGGAATTGTCCGACTATTAATTTTATATGTTTATCTCTTGTTTAAACTTTGAACCCTTTGCATAAGTTATACAAGTGTAACTATTTAACTTTTTTTTTGTTAATTTTGTCTCTCTGTTAATCAAAAATCATGTGACCCTTGCAAGTATTTCAGTGAGATGAATCGATTTTCAAAATTTTCATCATTACAGGAAAATGAAGATGCATCATACAATGCTCACATCTCACCGAATGGGGATAACTGTCAACCAAAAAGAAATTCACCTGGTGCATTTTGGCTGTGTTTAAAAGGGACAAGGAGAAACAATCAGTCAGTGAATAAAGGTCAACAAGATGCTTTAGATGCCAGTGAACAACAATCAGTTAACCAGTTGGTAGTCAAGGAAACCAACAACCAGCTGGATAATCAAACAATTGGAATGTTATCTCGATTGAATGAAATCGAAGAACAACTTGAAAAGTTACAAATTCAAAGAAAATTAGACGATGAAAAGTCTCTGGATGTCATTTCATCCACAAAATCATCTCAACAGGAAAATAAGGTAAAAGATACACATTCCTAAGGAATCTTTTTCTGTGTTTTCTTTGTGTTATTTTTATCAAGAATTGACATCAGTTAGAGCAGCATCGAAAACCAGGGAGTACTGGACAGCTGTTTCTTCCTTGTCTGGGACTTGCACAACCATGACACCACCTACCAGAGATCAAACTTAGAACCTTCGGATTACAAGGCAAACTTATGTGTAATTCAGATAATCAAAAAATAATGAAATTAGTCGAATTCCCTGAAAATCAGCGCTTGAAAATTAATCTACTGGTCACTAGTGAGTGAATATAAAATGAAGCAGACATTTGTAAAAAATTATATTTGTAAAATCTCAGCGAGATTGAAATGAGCAATTCCAACGTCTCCTACGTTCGGAAATCTCGTCTGAACTTCTTCAGGGAAATTAATCTAAATTAACATAACAGAGGTTTATATATATATATGTAAAAAGAACATCTCTTGTTTTTAAAAACTTTGTCCAATCATGAGTCATAAAACAAGTATCAACAACAAGTATAGTAAGCAAAATTGTATGAGCTGTGATCAAAATTTGACCTCGGACTTGCAAAGATTCGTCTACCTTTGTTAAACTTTTTAAACAGAATGTGTGTGTGGACAAACAGCTGTTGTTTGCAACAGAATGCGTATCCTAAATCCGTTGCTGTCGAGTCACCTGACAACTCCAGTAGGTCGAATAAAGCAGCTCAATCTTCAGAAAGAAGACAAAACAATAAGTTCGACAGGGTGCTTCAACTAAACTATAATCCTAAACACCATAATTTTGAAAATACGTCGAATCATAAAATTCTAGATACTAACAGTTTGAACAAACATGAAGGTGAGATGTGTGTTAGCTGATGCATAGGAAATCCTGATTAATAAATAACAAAGGCTTTGTATCACTAATTAATAATACTTGGTCGAAATTCCCGACTGTCTATATCTTCTTCTTATGGAGACGTTAAGAAATGTTTTACAACTGTTTTCCACACACATTCACATTATGTTTAAGTGTCTAACAAAGTTAGACGAATCTTTGTAAGTTCGAGGTCAAATTTTGATCACAGCTCATACAATTTTGTTTACTATACTTGTTGTTGATACTTGTTTTATAACTCATGATTGGACAAAGCTTTTAAAAACAAGAGATGTTCTTTTTACACATATATAAACCTCTGTTATGTTTATTTCGATAATTTTCCCTAAAGAAGTTCGAAGCAGATTTCCGAACATAGGAAACGTTGGAATTGCTCATTTCAATCTCTCTGAGAATTTACAAATATAATTTTCTTTTTACAAATGTCTACTTCTCACTCGGCGCTCAAAAATTTTAGAACTGTTCTGTGAAATTTTGACGACAGTTCATTTGAATAAAAGGAAGTTGCCCGAAATGCTGACGGGAAGTCGTGATCGCCAGGTATATATATATATATATATATATATATATATATATATATATATATATATATATATATATATATATATATATATATATATATATATATATATATATATATATCACTAATTGGCATAAGTCAGCGTCGATGTGCATTTGGATTCCATCCCAGTACCGAAGAGCTTACCTTGCAACTAGAAGTTCCTGTGTTCAATCCCTGATGAGCATGTACTACGGAAGTGTCTTAAGGAAGGAGGAAGTAACTGTCCAGTTCTCCATGGATTCCAGTAGTTCTTTAACTGATTTCTATTCATGATCAAAAAATTGAAATGAATCAACGATTGGAGATAGATTTTTATGCTTAGCCAATATTGGTGAAAAAATTTGAGCACATCTCTTCTAGTCATTGGCTAAGGTGTTTGTTTTAGTATAACCAATCAACTAAGTGCTAGCGGCGGTCAAACAAAAACTTGACACCAATCAATGAAATCCACAACAGTTGGTCTAAGCCACGTAGGAAGGTGTAGACTTCCAGGCTGGGGTCCTCGGGACGGTAAAAACAAATGGTTGTAAACAACTGGTGACATGGCTCAAAGTCGTTCTCAGTGACGCAGATGTATCCACTCCTTGTGACTTATGACCTCCAATGAAACTGTTTTGTTCTTCATTATTACTCCTCCTTTGTCTCACACCTCTGCTCACTGTTTCTATTATGCTTTTCTTGTACTTTCTTCTCTTGCTTCGCGTGCTACACAGAGTGTGGCGACTTGAAATACTGCACATTTGTGCAAAGTTCCATGTCGAAAACAGACAGACAGCGTTTCCTTTTACAGTTTAATCCCCCCCCCCAACCGCGCTTACGTTAAACATGTTCCACAGTGATTGTTGAAAGATTATCCTCACTATCAGGACGTCACAACATAAACAACTTATTTACACACATTTTATTCTGAATTCTATCACTAACTGGAAGATGTTTCAATTATCGAACGGGTAAATAATTTCATATGTTGAAGTATAGATAGATAAGAAGTCGAAGTTTTAAATGCATTTTCCTTGGAGTCAGCGATTCTTTAGCAAAATCTAAGTGGGCATGCCTATTTAGCAGATCAGTAACAATCAGTAGACGATATTTGATACTTGAGACTAATTCGTAATCTAATTTGATTAGAGATAAACTGTCAGATGGTAAAACTTTACTCGATATAATTTTCGCATCTTAAGATATAAATAATTTTTCAGTAAAGTCATGCATCATTCTAGATGCTAAAGAAAGGGATGGTAGATATTAAAACAAAGGAAAAAACAACACTCTGCTCCAGTTGATCAGGGTATTTCTCTCAGTCTGATTTCTGACAGAAACAGAATTTATGTGACTACTAAACGTAATAACGATACTGAATGCAATCATGTGTCTGGAATGAACACGGAACACAGCTATTCCTCTTTCCTACCCTCTCATCTACAGAGCCACTATATATGATAGAGAAGATTTGTAGCTCAGTGGATGATTTTAATGTGGTTGTGTTCTCTGAGCTGGATAGTCAATTTGCGAAGCTTTCATCGCCCTACTTACTAGGCAACATCTTCAGCACGCATACTTCAATTCAATGAAGTGAGCTTTTAGATTTCTCCACGAGTTTATTAATCATCTCTCCTGGTCGGTGACCACCTTGAACGTCAGTGGTTGTTTTTGTGTGTTTTCACACCTTCTAGACTGCCTGTATTGGAACTGATTGTTTCTTTGACTTGAACTTTGACCCTTTGTGTGTGAAGTTTCTTTCTTATCGGTTGATAAATTTTCTCTACCTGGATGTGTCTATTGAATGATGGTTCATTGGAATACCAGGTGAGCTTCTAAAAATTCTCTAGCATTCTTGTTGTTTCTCCTGTCTAATATTTGAACGTCGGTCGTCTCAGTCGAATTGATGTCCGTGGTTGTCTGTATGTAATGATATGACCGAGGAAGTGGATATCATGTCTTTTGACGGCTAGCTTACGTTCGTGGATGCAAAGACGAAGGGGATGTCCACTTTGGCCAATGTAGTGTTTTTCGAAGTTGTCACAATTTATTTTGTAGATGCTGATGTTGGTTTTATCTTCTTTCGTTGTTGAGTCATTTGGTTGACATAGAACTGAGTGAAGTGATTGTGTTGGTTTGTCTGCGACGTCAATTCCTAAAGGTTTGAAGAGTCTTCAAATAGACACATCCAGGTAGAGAAAATTTATCAACCGATAAGAAAGAAACTTCACACACAAAGGGTCAAAGTTCAAGTCAAAGAAACAATCAGTTCCAATACAGGCAGTCTAGAAGGTGTGAAAACACCAAAAAAACCACTGACGTTCAAGGTGGTCACCGACCAGGAGAGATGATTAATAAACTCGTGGAGAAATCTAAAAGCTCACTTCAACAGATTGAAGTATGCGTGCTGAAGATGTAGCCTAGTAAGTAGGGCGATGAAAGCTTCGCAAATTCACTATCCAGCTCAGAGAACACAACCACATCAAAAACAAAGCCACTAATTTGTTGAGAGGCAAAGCAAGGCCTGTAACCCAAGGATGGCTTTGTTCAACAAAAATAACCCGTGTATATTTTAATATTTAGTCTGATTGGCATCTTGATTACAACAGCAAATTTAAAACGTTAATGTCTCAGATACACTTATGAAGCATGTTACTATTAAATATGCACTTGTATAAATCATTAAAAGTGTCAGTATTCCGACTATTTCTTTGAATTTCCTTGTATCATCACTTTCTAAATTTTATGCTGATTTTAATGAACGACACAAATTTGGGAAGAATTAGAGGCACATGATTTTTCATGAACATTAATCTAGGGCTACTTTATCATAATCCAGTTTCAAGCTAATGTTAGTGATATACAACTGTGTTGAGAGCTGGCTGCTAGCCAAAATTGCTAGAAAATAATTTACGTCAATGTTTACATCCCCAATATTGGTCATGAGAAAAATAAGAGCAAAGACTGATTCAACAACCAATCACAGCAGACTTTACGTAGGCGGATTCAGTTAGCACATAGATCATCTGACATTCAAGAAACAGTCACAAAGAGATGAAAGATTAACTTTCAGTGAAAAACAACCTATCAGAAGACTGTGTTTGTCTGCTAACAATAATCTATAATATTATACATGAAAATCTATAAATATGTGTTGATTTCCTTAATGAACGATCTGTTGCCTGGCCTTTGTCTTCTGTTGTTACATTTGGTGTCGCTGCCTGTCGCGAAATGAAAGTCCCATGGCCTGCAGCTTATGAAGAAGGAGATATATGGATCTTCGGGCAGGACTTTGAGGCTTGTGCGCAGTTCAGTGGCGTTCAGGATCTGTCAGCGATAAGGCTGCTACTTGAGACGCTGCCGGAAGGTCGGAAGAAAGCAGCATTTGGACGTGTGAGGCGAAATATCGATGAATGTGCTACAGGATCAGGCAAGCAGTTTCCAAAGTGAGAAGGACCACATATAGTTACTTTGAGATGGAGTTACGCAGACACAATCGCAATGGCAAACAAAGAGAAACAGGTGAACATCAGCGAGCGCAGAGATTCCGGACACCAAGACGAACGAACAAAGCCCTTGGAATCAAGAAGACCGATCAACTTCAGTCAGAAGTCTTCGACGGGGAGACAAGTGTGGTGAGAGGAGGCTGCTAGCCAAAGTTGGCAGACATTAATTTACGTCAATATTTGTGTTCCCAATATTGTTTGTGAGAAAAATAAGAACAGAAACTGACTCAACAACCAGTCACAGCAGACTTTGCGTGGGCGAATACAATTTGCAGATAGATAATCTGAACTCTAAGCAACGGCCACAAAGAGATGAAAGATTAACGTTCAGCGTGAAACCACCAATCAGAAGACTGTGGTTATTGTTTGCTTACAATAATCTCTAATAATTTACATGAAAATCTATAAATATGCGTTGATTTCCTAAATAGACGATCTGCTACCTGTCCATTGTCTTCTGTTGTTACACAACTACTCATCTCAATCAGTCAGTAGTGTATAGTGTACTGTTGACCAACAACGTTGGATTAAAGTAGAAGGGTGTATATTATGAATATACATCTCAGGCGAAATCAAATAAGTTTTCACTCCATCAAATGTTATGACGTTTCTTGGTGAAGGATCGATTTATTGTTAACAGATAATGAACTTCTTTGATTATTTTCACTATAATGTTAGTTGGTTATATTTTATCACCTTACTTGTACACAAATAAATATGTAAAGTAAGTGGATTGTGGCCCACACGATAGATTAAGGTAATGTGCAACACCATAGTACTATAATATTACATGTGTGACGCAATATGAGCATCAATTACCATCAACGGGAGATATCTGAAGGGTGTCACTACTTTTACTTACCTAGCCAGTTGTTGTTCCAGCTACTGGTGGCACGTATCAGGATGTCGAAGTTAGCATCGGAAAGACAAGGCAGATTTTCTGAACTCAGCATTATGAACAAGATGAGAATCTTCACCACTAATAGCCAGCCAGGCTCTCTATATAGTTCTGGGACTTGACGCGCGCTTAGCGGAAAGGATTTCCAACAGGTTTCTGAATTCCATCGACAGCTATCCTTACTGACTCGATACAGAAGGTCGGATGGGAGGCTAGAAATAACAGGCTACAGCTAATAACTCTGATAAAGAACTAACCAAGAAGCCATAACCTAGCAGATGTTCTGAAGGAAATGGAGATGGATAGGACATACGCTGGGGAGACAGTTGAGTGTCATCGTGCACCAGGCCATCGATCGAGTGGAACTCAAGCCAGATAAAGAGAACTGCAGAGAAGCAGAAGAAATGGGTGGGGATTTGCTACTGAATTTGTTTTGTTCCTTTGTTTTGGACTTCACGAAGATTAATTTACCTTACGATTACTAGCTCTTTTTGTCTAGTAAACAAAAATGGTATTTTAAACTCTTTCAGTAATTTCAGGAAAAAGTATTACTTTCGTTTTGCGTAAATGTGGCAATATGGAATTGATGTGTATACTAGTAAGATTAAAGTTCCATCCCATGTGGTTGACCAATAAAACCGCTCAGTTATTTCATAAAAGTTTTGGAAGTTAGTAGAGTTCCTCCGTTTGGTTGAATGACAAAGTACATGTATCTGTCCTGGATTTACTCGTGTAAACAGTGGATATTATGATATTATTGTTCCCTTGAGTTCCTAGTGGAACATAGGGCTTCAACTGCACGTCTCCCTCCACTTGCTTCTGTCTTCCTTCTGCTGTACTTTTCACCTGCATCCATGTTAGTCCATACTGTTTCAAATCCTCTTCAAACGATCTCCTCCATGTCACCCTCGCACTGACGTCCCACTCGCCGCTTGCTTCCCTTTCGGGTTCCACTCGGGGAATGGCCTGACGCGCGCGCCATGTCACCCAGCGGCCTCCTCAGCCAACGAGTGTGCAATCCATCTCCATTTTCTCCTGCATATTTGTTGGTTGGCGATTGGTTCTTGTTTTGTTTTCTTTGTTCCCATAGTTTCTTGTTGGTGATTGTTTCCGGCCCGGCCATCTGATCTTCATTCAGTATAGAGCGAAGACAGTTAGTTGTTGATAAAGGTCTGCAATAGCCAGCCTGTTGGAAATATTCTTTGTGACGCCAAGTTTCTCATCCGTATAGAAGAACTGACTGACTTGACGTCTTCGATTCTGTGTGACATCAAACATAAATCATCTACGCGCGAAATCCAGGTCTTCTCTGTTCTTCGCGTTGGTCCACGATATCCCAGTCTTCTCATATCCCACTCACTGTCTGACGCATAATCCAGTCAGTCCACCACAATTAGTAATAGCATTGGTGCGTTGGTGGCACAGTGGTTAGGACTCTCGCCGACCATGCACATGGTCCGAGGTTCGATCCTGCAAAATTTGGGCTACCGATATCCATGCTGAAAATTCCATACTTGTACCAACAATACAGTGTGGAATCAAGCTGTAATCAAAAATAAAAAAAACAAAAGTAAAAAAATAAATAACAGGCACCCTTGTCTGACTCCTGTGCTTACTCGAAATGCCTCGCTGAGTATTCCGTTTTGGATCACTTGACATGTACCGTTGTCACACAACCAGCTGTTGAATAAGGTTGATGAATATTTGGGGTACGCCGTAGTACTCGAGTAGTTTCCAAATTACTTCGCGGCCAACGCTGTCGAAGGCCTTCTCAAAGTCTTTAAAGTTGAGGTAGAGTTCTGATCGCCATTCCATGCTTTGTTCACTGATGATGCGTGAACTGTTAATTAGCCTGGAAGTAGAATGAAGCAGCTGTTTAGTGCTTCCTAGTTCTGTTTAATTCGTCACTTGGCGTGTATTAGAAATGAATAATTACATAACAAAAATTTGTGTCAGATATTTATTTCCATTACTGATAAAAGATCGAGTAGTATGAATTGTTGTCCACGTTTTTGTTTTTCTTAACAGGCACGGAGAGAATCAATCAATCATCCAGGAGAATGTACCTTGATGGCTTATCAAGAAATCCGTGAAATGAATGAACGTCTTAGCGAGCTTGATACTCGATTGGCTCAGATACAACAGACTAACTTTGAAGAGGTAAATTATTTAAATTATTTCAGTGAATCATTGTTTGAATTAAACGATTTGTTTAATAGACATTTTAAACATAACATTTTAGAATACTATTTGGTATAGGTTGAACCAACATCCAGAATATGTATTATTGATATAAGTATAAAAGTTGGGCACTGTGGCAGAGTATAACTCTATTATAGACAAGATTTTATTTTGGTGTATTACACTTTGTTATACAGTAATATTAACTGACGACCACATTTCGAGCACAAATTATTGACACTCATAGGCATATCAAGTCACTCACTCACACAACTTTTTCCTTCATTTATATACATGTATGGAATCAATTAGATTTTTAAATAAAAATCAATATGAGATAATGTACATTCAGAAATGATAATAATCCGAGTATTTGTGATCCATTACAATCAGATGGGAAATAAGACGAGTGTTTTTATAGTTATCATATTAAGTAACTTGTTAGAATGTTGTGTTGTGTTTGAATTGAGATAGAATTTTGAGATTATTTATTATCCTCCTCTGATTTGACCGGTGGTAATAATGTCTTCCATATTTCTGGTATTTGCATTCAGTCATTTCTGTTGCATGGGTTGTGTTGGGTGTAGACTCAATGAACCAGGATTCAGTAATCAACCTCTTTCTCCACCTATCCAGAATACTTTTTAGAATTTTAACCCTCTCCCACCCTATTGTGTGGTTGTGTTTTAATGCGTGCAGTGCAATTGCCGAGCTTTTTTCTAAATTATTTATCTTCTCGAGTGGGGTCAACCATTCTCACCTTAGCTAAATTCTTATGTCCCCAACCTACTAGTTTGACCTATGTTGTTGACTTGGCTCACAGTCATTGGAGGGCATTTTGTAAATTATATTATTTTGTCTAATTGGGTCAACTGACAGGGTCCTTTAACTCACAGAGCTTGTCCCTGAGTAAGTTTGTAGGTTTAAATGCCACCCTAATTCCTGCTTTATTTTGGATTCAGATGTTCCCTCCTTATATAGTATAACAGTGGATGACTTATATTCTCTTTTATTTATGTTATCATTATTAGTTCCACAATTATTTTTATTTCGTTTTTGGCCTTTACTGAACTTCCTTTTGAATTTTATAGGATAGTTGTTCAACATCATCGCTTCTTCTGTCTGTTTTATTTCGTCATTTAGGTCTTTTCTGGTGCTACATAGTGCTATGGCTTGGTTTGTTAAACACTTAACTAAGCCTGCCTTAACAGTTAACGGATGAGATGAATTAAAGTCTAAATATCTATTAGCAGAATGCGTTGGTTTTTTATAAACACTAGTGTGTAGTCTGCCTTCTTCTATTCGTTTTATTTTACAGTCTAGCATTGCTAATTCTCCACATGTATATAAATGAAGGAAAAAAGTTGTGTGATTATGAGCGTCAATAGTTTGTGCTCGAAACGCGGTCATCAGTTAATATTACTGTACAACACTGTGTGATTTATCAAAATAAAATCTTATCCATAATGGAGTTATCCAGAATCTGCTTGGATTTATTATTAAACGAATTTTTGGACGTTGAGAATCCTAAAACACTAGTATTCCTTAAATTTCGGACTTTGAAAATACAACGCCTTTAAGATACTTTTCAGAACATTTCGAGATAGTAATAATAAAAAAAGGATCCACTGAGTGACATTTCCACTGAAATAGATTTTTTTTCCAAAAATAGGAGTTAACATTTCCAACTTCACTTCGTAATGCTTGTTAAGATTCCACCAAGCTTAGTGAGGATCATCAAATCACAGAATACGCTGAACAATTTCCATAGATGTTCTAAATTTCAAATATTTGCTATCAATTTACATTAGATCATTTTTAAGCAGATAATGTGCACACAGAAGTCAGAGAATGGACATCCAAACGAACGTGTGTATAGACAACTGTGAAGAGCTCAGTCAGAGATAGGCAGTGCAACTAGTTAAAGCGTTGAAAGAAGTATAAGAATACTAAAGAAGTTCAGGAAAATATTTACATGAAAGATTTACATACTACTGACTAACTGAGTGGAGTAGTCGCATACCACTGATATCAACCAGTACTGTTTGTCACCTAGATCGAGTTGATTTAAACACCAAATGGTCATTTTATTCATGTGCGGCCGAGCTCACCAACACTGTACCCGGTTCGACTTATCTAATAGAGCCAAATCAGTTCAAACCATCCGATTTGGATTAGGAGAAGATTAGTGTTGCAATGGGTTGGAGTTTCGTATGAGAATTCTTGACCTAAGAAGATTTCCGGATGTGACGTCTCCACTGGGTCATGACCTGCACTTGTTACTAATGTATAAATTGAGTTGTTTCCTCCAACACTTCCTCTTTTTGAACACAACTGGTCATTCGTGCCTTTGATTAAGGGAGTATTTAATTTTTTAATTTCACCATGGAGACCAGAGGCAAAAACAAAACTTTTTGAAGCTGATTCGATCCCGATTGAAGGAGTTTTCGCTATTTAGTTTAGACTGCGGATCATAGGGGATATATATATATATATATTAGATGGTTGGAGGCAGTCGACAGAAAGCCGTCGACCTTGTTGACGCTCACTAGTCAGCAAGGCATATCTGCAATTTGGAGAAATGTATGTCCACCCTTAGATTCAAAGCTGCGTCAACCAATGGTGCAGTCAGCGATGCTACCACTGAACTATTTTGGCTTGCACTTAACCTTTTATATGACTATATTGCATACGTCGTCGATTAGGCACTAGTTATTAACTAACGTCATACATCTGGTCTTTGGTTTGGTGAAGACTGAATCTCAGAGGGACACGAATTTTTTCAGGATTGCGCATTAGCCTTGCTGACTGGTGGATGCCAACAAGCACGAAGCATAGGTGAAGCAAGTCTTCCTTCCTATTACCTCCAACCATCTAATAACAACATTTCAGTGTGAAACTTGATGGCAAGCCACCTGGAATAGTTGCCACATTTCAAACTTGACTGAAGGAATTTAGTCTGAACCTAACGGTAGTGCTTAATTAGGATACGAAATCCTAACAAATGTCAGTCTAGACTAGAGCTGTTTAAAAGTAGAAATCTCATAGAGATTTGCCAAAATTAAAGTAAGAAAATAAATAATTAATTTCGGTGTTTTGATATAGCTAAGTGAACTGTGCAGAGTTCGTCAGTGGAAAATCAGAACTGAGAGATAATAATAAGGTGAGAATGAGTAATATATGCTCACTTAATACACCTACCTCTCTCTCTCTCCATATTCCTTACAGTTCTAACTTTTTATCACTCAACTGCGCTGAATTCTTTCAAATATATTACATCATGCAGATTAGTCCTTTCTTATAAGAAGTCCTTCTGACAATGCGAGGATGGATGTCCCACCTACGATAATGGTTGGGGCTGCGCTAAATCACGAATTGGTAGATGTTAGAATTCATGAGCTGGCTACTGAATCGGGTCCCAGTGGCTGAATGGTATAGGAGCCAGCTTTCCTTGTAACCGGAAGGTCCTGGGTTTGAACCTACTGGTGGTGGGTGTGTACTGCCAATGATTCCCAAAACTAGGATGAAACAGCTGTCCAGTACTCCTTGCTGGTTTTCCAGTTGTTCTCTAGCTGGTATCGATCCGTGATCAACTGATAAAAACAAAACTAACCCTCATAAACCAAACTATAGAAAACAAGGAAATATCCATTTTTGTAGTATCGTGATTTATTTGGAAATTTTACATAAACTTTCCTTCCAACTATCCATAAGTGCACAAGTTTATCCTTGATATTGAATCATCTCATGGGAGTGTATTAAAGATGAAAGTGACAAACAGTGGAATCCAGAATGTGCATTTCTTTCTATCTGGGACACGTAACCTGGACGTACCTCTGTTCTTCAGTGAGTATTGATGTTCACGATGAGACCTGGACCCAGCACCCATCGCTTCAAACTCCATAGCGTTATCCATTAGACCACTTGGGTGACATGAGCTGCCTGTTATGCGAAGGGGTATCACTAATGATTTATTTTTAATTCATATTTTCATTTTCTCGTTGATTAATTGCCTCGAAATATTCTGACTCTGTAGACATGTCGTTAGGTAATCTCAGACGATGAGCCCGAAACAGGAAGAAATGCGCATGCTGGATTCTGCCTGCTAGGCACCATCCATTTAATTACTTTTAGGTGATTCTCAGACATCGTTGATGTGTTTGTAATAACAGCCGATATGTCAACAGATGCCGAGCATTTTGATCTCATCAATTGAACGGGAAAATCTTAAATTAAATTAGAAATAGATAATTACAGTAATAATGTCTAGTTCACCTTTCTAGACATTAACTGTAGGAATGTAGTCTTGGAACCGGATGCATATTCTCGTCACTTAAACGTTTCATTTCCCTTCATAAATAGATATACTATAAGTTGTTTAAAAGAGACCATGTATTAGATAAACTACTATAGAGTTATTATTATTATTATTATATCCTTTAATTCCTAGAGGAACATAGAGCTTTAGCTGCGCACCTCCATTGCCTTTTGTTTTCTGCCAACTTTTTCACCCCGCTCCAAGTCTGCCCACATGCTTTCATCTCCTCCTCGCATGATCTCCTCCAAGTCACCCTAGGACGGCCAACTCACCGCTTCCTTTTCGGGTTCCACTCGAGGGCTTGTCTAGTGATATTATTGAGTTACTCCATACTAATTTGTTTATTAAATGTATCACACAGTGAAACAGTATTGTTTACTGGAGGACATTGTTTCAAAAAAAAATTTATTGTTCATAATCATATCAATTTTAATCACACGACTTTGAAACTTGAGTTTTATACTTTTCTTTGTCTTCTCCTATTTGTCTTAGGGGTAGTAGAGGTATGTAGAGGAGGTATGTAGATGACACATTCATTGTACTCAAAACACAAGATATGGATAGATTTTTCGAACACATCAACTCGAAGATAGAGGCAATTCAATTCACACATGAATTGGAAAGTCAGAAAGAGGAGCTTCCAATGTTAGATTGTAGCGTAAAAAGGAAAGATGATTGGAAGTTAAGCACACTGGTGTGTTTACAGGAAACCCACACATTCAAACAGATATTTGGACCTCCGATCATCCCATCTTATGCCAGTAAAAATTAGGATTGGTGAAATGTTTAAGTAACAAAGCACAAAAACTAAGTAGTACCAAGGAAAATCTAAGACAGAAAGTGAGACATATAAGACAAGCCTTGAAACTTAATAACTACCCGGATAAATTAGTCAGGAAATATGTAAGGAAATGTAAAATTCGAATAAATAATGATAGTAGCGGTAGTGATAATAATAATAATAACAATATGAATGACGACACCAACAATAAGGAATCTTAATCATCAGTAGTAATTCCACACAAGGAAGGAACCTCGGAAACCTTACGCTGAATTCTTAACAAGGCAGGCAGTAATAAAAGTGGCTGACACTCAAACCACCCACAAACTCAATTAGTAACAAGTTTTGTAGGTTAAAGGATCAATTCTGTGGAGCCTTTAAAACAAAACAATTCAGTTTATCTAATACCCTGTCTGCAATGATTATCAGGTCAACTACATAGGTCAAACTAGTAGAACAGGGTCAGTCAGACTAGCTGAACATAAAAACCTACCAAAATCTAGATTGGTTGACCCAAATAAGATAAGAAATCCAATTACACGCAACCATACAATAGGATGGGTGGGATAAGATGACAGTTTTAAAATCTAATGTGACAGGGTGGAAGGAGAGATTGATAACAGAAGCTTTGTTTATCGAATCAACTGTAAATACATGTAATAGGAATGATTCAACACCTGTCCAGCCAGATATCTGGAAAATTCTACCACCTCAATGAGGACAAATAAGAGAGGACAAAGGAAACTATAGAACTCAAGTGTCGAAGTCGTGTGAATATAATTGATATGATTATGAACAATAAATTGTGTTCGAAACCTTGTCATCCAGTAAATAATAATACTGTTTCACAGACTGTGTGATACATATAATAAACAAACTAATATGGAATTATTTACTACCACATTTCCCAAGTTTTACACATATACTATTGAGTTATTTGTCTTTGAGTAATATATGCACTTATTCATAATTGTTTCCCATTGAAAAAAAGTTATTAGTAATTAAATATTTACTTTTCTTTATTTTATCCCAAAAGATTATTTAATTGATTTACGTTCTCCTCTTCTTTTTATTCCTTTCCTTCATTTTATGTATTTACTCGTTAACTTGATGTGTGTGTGTGTTGTGTCAATGTTTCAATGTATAAATGTCAATGTTTTTTGGTTAGCTGAGCACAATTCTGTTTTTAATTGCTTACACTAAATTATGGAGTAATTCATCAAGTAATCCAGTACAATTAGAAGTTGATTTGAACATATTGGCGCCTAATAATTTATAGTTACAGTTATCAAACAAGCTGTCTGATTATAGTCACATTCGATGTCTACCTCTTCCGTGCACTCACACACACACACACACGCACACATACATGCAAACAAACAAACAATGCACACGCTAATATGCACTTTATTTTCGGTTTTATTTCTTATAACCTGGTAATACATTAGTTATCATATTTAGTTCCATTTTCTCTTTTTTGAATGTAAGTAGATTACTAGATAAAGACAAATTTGTAGAGAAAGATGTTAATACATCAAATACTATGGCAGTATGACTGCAAAAACAACAACAAAGCAAAGAAGTTGAATAATTACCATTAGGATTATTCGCTTAGTTTTCACTTGTAACAGCAACAGCACATCTCCATGTCAACCTGTTCTGGGTTGTCATCTTCAGCTGGCTTCACAATTAACAGTAAACTTTCATCTCAGCTTCACACAGTCTTTTCGATGTCACGTCCACAAGGCTTTTACTGTCAGATTAGACGTCAATCCGACAATGCTGCATGCCAAGGAATCTACAACGGAAAACTTACGGAATCCTTTGAAGGGAAGACGGAAGTAAGACAAACTGGCTCCATACTACCACCCATTATTTTCCCGATTCCAATAGATTGGATAATGCGCAATAAGTGGGCAATGAGGAAACAGGCTTTAAATGGACAAACACAAAAAATGAACTTGGAGGATCTGGACTTCGCCGATAACATATGTATGTCTGATTTCCCAAAAACTGGATGATATGCAAGTGAAAAGCAACAAGTTGGCAGAAGAAGCATCAAAGAGAGGATTTCCATCAGGTGAACATAGAGAAAACAGAGGCAAGTGATGAAGATTCCTGGCCAACATCAACAACAACAACAGACAACAATCAGCCAGAACAAATGGGAGGAACCTGAAAGAAACAACCTCCTTCACCTACCTACCTACCTACCTACCTGGGAAGCTTCGTTTCAATTACAGGCGGACAGAACTGACGAGGATATCAAATCAGCGAGGATCGGGAAAGCAAGACAAGCTTTCATTACTCTCAAGTCTGTGTGGAGGAGGTCAACAGCACTACTCACCGTCAAAAACAACAACAAGATTTTCAAATCTAATGTGAAGTCAGTCAGTGCTTCTCACTATATGGATCAGAGACTTGGCGCGTCATAAAGAACACTTCAAACAAACTACAGACCTTCAACAACAGCTAGCTGTCTTCGCTCAATACCACTCAAGATCAGGTGACTGACCAGAAAAGATCAGGAGCAGAAAGCGAACCAACTCAGCAGGAACCGATTGTGCAACAAATACGCAGGAAGAAATGGAGATGGATTGGCTGGCCATACTCTGATAAAACAAACCATCAAGTGACATCACTAGACAAGCCATTACTCGAGTGGAACCTGAAAGGGAAGCGGCGAGTTGGTCGTCAGTTCGAGGCTGGGGTGACTTTGAGGAGATGATGTGAAGAGGAGATGAAAGCATGTGGGCAGACTTGGAGCCAGGTGAGAGAACTCTAGCAGTGAACCGAACGAAATGGAGATGCGCAGCTGAAGCCTTATGTTCCTCCAGGAATTAAAAGGAAATAATAATAATAAATTAGACGTCACCATTTTTGTGAAAGTACCCTGACGATAGGCTATCCATTTTCTACATGGAAATTTCTATGAGGTGGAAACGACAACAACTAAATCATTGAATAACATATTTGTGGAACTGTTACACGCACAGAAATTTTTCCTTTGCACTTCCAGCTGTAATTAATTATGCACTTTATATATATTGGCTTTTTGGTTCAGTTCAGCAACACCAAATGTAACAACAGAAGACAAGGGCCAGACAACAGATCATCTATATGTTAACTGTATCCGCCTACGCAAAGTCTTTGTTCTCATTCTTCTCACAACCAATATTTGGGACATGAACATTGACGTAAATTACTGTCTACCAACTTTGGCTAGCAGCCAGCTCTCACCACAATATTATCCATCCAAGATCAGTTTGAATGGAGAACATTGACGAAGAAGTTACCGACAACCAACCTTCACATAATTTTTACTATTTTAAGTGAAAAGAAAAGACATTTCCCTAAAACAAAATGTTTCCAAACAGAAACTGTGATTCAATTACAATACATAAACACTTCGAATTGTGTCATTTGTAAGCGACGTGGTAAATTCTACGCATTATGAGTCTACCCCGAGTAGACAGTTAGAATTCAGCTCCATCAATTGTGTTACTGTGGGCGGGACTCCAGTGAGCTAGGTATCAGACGACCGAAAAATGCCGTCATGTATTTCGATTACTTCATTCTGGTTAGAATTAACTACTCTTTTTGTTGAACATTGCGTCAAACTACTCATCAGTAAGTAGTATATACCAGGATAAATAAGTACCGCAACATTTTATACGCTTTTTGCTTAGCTTCAATAAGACTATGTAAGAAGGATACTAAATGATTGTCTGGATATCTTCTGAGATGTAGCAATGTTTAACTTGAACAGCTGACAATGGCGGAACCTCATCATCGCTTATAGTATAGGGAATACACTACAAGTGAAATCTTATCACTACTTCATATTAGACGTACAGAAGAGACATCGCACTTATAAAATATGCAGTATTTTAACGAATTCTTAAATGATTACACCAGATTTCCGTGAGTAGAATGCTCCCGTGAACAAATAATGATACATCGTTTCACTGGATGCTATGAAAACAGTATCTTAGTTAATAAAATCAAGATGAGGTCTAATGTTATGAACAGCTGTAAATGAATACATATCAGACAAACATATCAGACGATGTAGTTATTATCACTGAAATATTGATTGATTTAATTAGTTATTGTGAACTCAGTCTGATAGAACAAATTCTTCAGGTATCAGTTACAATTATTTAGTCCAATCACCCAAGGCTAAACTAGGTCAAGTGAAATTCTAAATCAGGAGGTACTGGTTGAAAAAGCTGAGTGAGAATGTTAGCTATCCACCTTACTGCGGTGGACTATATGAAAAAACATCGTACTATATTAAATCTATACATATTCTTTCCATGCAACGACAGTCCGTAAGATCGAGGGAGTTTCTGAACACTACACGTTTTAAATATTTTCATATTGGGCTTGTAGAGATTTATTATTTATTTTATATGATTTTATTCCTTTGCGTTTCGACTGGAACACTGGGCATCAAGCTTGAGTTATAAGGTTTCCGTAGAGCTGATTTTGTTTTCTACGGGGTGAGGTTATTTAGCTTCACGCCCAACCTTCTGTCTTTACTGAGCTAACTACTTGTTAAGCGACTAGTTAGTAAACTAATTGAGGTTTAGGAGTGCATCGGCCAGAGATGGTACCCTTGATAACTTTCATGGTACGTAGAATTTCTATTGATCTGTCTTAACTTGGATTTCTTCATGAGTCGACATCACTTGGGTGAATAATTAAGAATGTGAAGTGATAACCAGCAGAGTTCCACCAAATTGGATATGAGGACAGAAATTCATCAGTAATTATTGGCTAATGTTTTATACTATATCGCAGAGGACCAAAAACCAACATTATTATTATTATTATATAAGCTTTATTCCAAATCAGTACTTGTGATACAGAATGGAATTCTCAGCATTTTACTACAATATTGCATCCAGTTTTTACATTAACAATAAATAAAGTTCTACATAGATTAAAGATTATCTCAACAACATATTAGTATGTCGGTAGCAAAGCCAAAATTAAAATGTTTGAAGGTGTTACAAAAGTAGATACTACTAGCATATTTACTGGCGTAAGCGATAGCAAAATGGTCGAGATATACAGAGTGTAAAAGAACAACAAGAAGGTTTTAACTAGAGTTTGCAAGGAAGAGAAAAACAAAACAGCACTTAACAAAAATAAAGACAAAAAAGGTAGAGAGAATGGAAAAGAGAGAAAACGTTGTACCCATAAATGATGTGAGTTGGAAAGACGAGATTCATTGGTTCTAGTGACTATTTAATAAGTTAAAGGTTTCATGCCTGATGCATTCTTTATCACACAGAACACGGGCTAGGTAGGGTATGGATGAGTTTTTGTACTTACTAGTGCGGGCATATAGTTTCCTATATAGACTTCTTGTTTTCCCTGAAGAGATACATGGGGAGAGTTGTGAGTGTAGAGGGTGTTGTGAGTCAGATAAAATGGACTTCGCCCATTTTTCACATGAGTCCATGTGCCTGTCCACCAGAATGTTAACAAGCTGGCTAAGTGGTAAACTGCTTACCCTGCTGACAACCTTTAACATCCTACGTAATAAGGTATAGTCTTTCTTCAATAGCCCAGGAAAGACTAAGGGGGAGCAATAGAGAATTATAGGCAGAATACGGGAGTTAACAAATTGTAGTAGTAAGGGTTGGGTTACACCAGAATGTCTTAACTTCTTGATGTAGAAGGTAAGACGGTATATTTTCTTGGAAATCGTCAAGATATGAGACGACCAGGAAAGATCAGAAGATAGAGTGACGCCTAGGTATTTAATTTCCGACTTAGTTTCTATTTCAGTGCCATCTATGTTGCACACCTCGTGAGCGCTAACCAGTTTGTTTAGGTCAGATTTATGCCTAAAGGTGAAATTAACTGTTTGGCATTTGGAGGGGTTTAAGGTTAGACCGTTTTCCTTGGACCATTGGCTAATTTCTGATAAGAAGCCATTTAGTTTAGAGCAGTCATTTTGACATTTGACAGGTAAAGATACAGTTAGGTCATCAGCATATTTGACAAAGTTAATATCATTTGAAGACGGTAGGTCATGAAGGAAGAATGAAAAGAGAAGTGGGGAGAGTACAGCACCTTGGGGGACACCAGATTCAGTGAGCACATCTATTAGCCTACTTTGATCTCAGTCAAGTGATTGCCTGATAACATTCTTTTTGTATAACATGGCAGTCCTGTATTCGATGCTTGTTGGAGTCATAGATATGCACTGCCGAAGTAAAGTACCCCAAAGTAAGATGAGAAAGTTCACTATCTTTGCATGGA